GAGGGGGGCACTCTGACATTAGCACCCCTCTTTCCCCCCCACCCCCTGCACAGCAAGCAGGAGGCTCCTGGGAGCAGCTCCAAGGCAGAGGGCAGGAGCAGCTCACGGCAGTGTGGGGAGGGACAGCTGAACTGCCTGGCAATTGATAGCCTGCTGGGTGGCTGTAGCACAGGGAACTTAGGGGAGTGGGGAGCTGATGGGGGGGAGGGGGGCTGCCAGTCCACCCTGGTTCCAAGCCCCCACCAGCTAGCTCCAACAGGCTGCTCTTTCTGCAAGCAGTGGACAAAGCAGGCGGCTGCCAAACAACGTTATAAGGGAGCAACTTTAAACGAGCTTGGTCTCTAATCGATCAGCAACGTAACAACGAAAGAACGTTAACCGGGCCGACATTAAGTGAGGAGTTACTGTATTTGAACCCAGGACTCCAAAGGCTATTGCTTTAACACAGGGCACTGCTTGCTACCTACTTTACTGATTTTGTGCCGCTTGGCTGTACCTTCTGTTCAAAGCTGTAGTGGTCACTGAGGACCCAGCTGTGCCAACCGTACTCGCTGTTGTTGATTTCAGTGGACTCTTAGTTGAGGAAGTACTGCTCAACGTGAGTAAGGATGGCAGAACTGAGCTCTAAGGTGTGGTCATAAAAGTCCATTAGAAAACACCTTCCTGATATGATTCAGGTTTTCTAAGGCCTTTAGACCAGCTACTGCTCCCTCTGCAGGCATTTGTATCCCTCTCCTAACTCTCCTGCCTTCTCATCCAGGTATGACGAAGGAAACCGTGGGAGCGGGGACGAAGCCAATGAGGAAAATCGGAAACGGGAGTGGTACAACTTCTACAAAAAGCAGATGAATCTGCGTAAAGTGAGTTGACATCCCTTCTCGAAGAGATCCGAGGGCTTCTGGCTTTTGGCCTCTGTGCAGCGTACCTGCCTCTACTGCAGACACAGCAGCTTCCTGTGACTAGCAGCAGGACAATCAGTGATGTAACAGATAAAGCCTCTCTGGGTGACCAACCGACATATTGGCAAATGAAAAACCAGAAGTCTGTAAATCTGAGAGCTAGCATTGCCCTCTCTAGTTTTACTAAATTCAGATATACAGGCCTCGTCTCCAGACTCTGGACTAGATCCTCTCATGCCAGTTTTCCTGTGGAATGGGGTGCTCAGAGGAGGAAAGCTCTCCATGGTTTCCTGAGCTAATTTGTCCTGAAGCCATTCTGTCTGGGGGTGTTTTCCACCCCTCACTTCAGTCCCTCTGATCTCCCATGGACCTTGGAGCTCCACCAAAAGTCAGAGCCATCTGCTCAAATTCAGGAGCCGCATGACTATTCCTCCTGCTTCCATTAACATTCCACAGTGCGCAGTGACCTCTGCAGAAAACTTAGCACAACCTCAGTCCTCTAAGGATTCCTCCAGAGGCTGGGGGTGCAGAGGGCTGGATGGTGGATGCATCTCCAGTTGGCCCTCGGCCCCTGGACCGATCTCTAGATGGAGATCCCTCCATTGGTAAGGGGCATAGTCGAGGGAGGATGTTTTATGACGATTGTTGATGGCTCCTGTCCCTCTACAACTTATTGCATGGAAAAAGGGGAAGGATCTTGGGGAGTGATGGGATTCTTGTAAATGGAGACTGGCATAAGGGGAACTAGCTTGTTACATTTAAGAGATGTAACCAAGTCTCTGATAAACAGGGAGCCTGCATTTCTGCTCCAGGAAGAAGTGGAAAGTACAGCAGCCTATGTCTGTGCCCTGCAGGATAAACCCCAGCACAGATCGATAAAAAAGGGCTGCCAAGATAAGAACCAACAGTGCAGGGAAATGGCACCATCTGCCCCTCATTCTTCCCCCTTCCCTCCCTCAACTCCTGTGCTCCATGTCCTGCCCCCACCCGTCTTCCCGCAGGGGATTAATGACTATTACTGGAGCAGGGGAATGAACTCGGAAATCCACCAGTAGACTCACCTATATTTAACCCTCTGAACCTCTAGCATCATAATGATAATACTTCATCCTCCTATGGAGCTTTTCAGCCCCAGATCTCAGTGCTTTAACACGAATGAATATAGCCTCACCCCACCACTGTGAGGACAGGTAAGCATGACTCTGACCCATCTGCAGCATGGTGTAATAAGGCACAGAGAGGTTAAGTGACTAGCCCAGGGTCTCTCAGTGAGCAGTGGCAGTGCTGGAAATAGAATCCAGCAGTCCTATCTACTAGGGCTCGTCTATGGGAACAGTTAGTTCACAGCAAGCTGGGGTGTGAATCTGTCCCGCACTAGCCTGCTGTGTGGACCCTGCTGATGTGCATTAACAGTTCATTGATGCGCTTTGATCTAGTGCTTTTTGAAATGGGATGAGATCAGAGCACATTAATGAACTGCTAATGCATTTCAGCAGGGTCCCTGTGGACAGTTCGTCTGCGACAGGCTAGTGCGGAGTAGATTCACATCCCAGCTTGCTGCAAACAAATTGTTCATGTAGACGTCCTTAGTCTTCTGCTCTGACCATTAAACTGCATTTCCTACTAGCATCACTGCTGCAGTACTGGTGCCCATGTTGTCCTCAGCTCCTTAATAGCAGCTGTTGCTACATCCACCCTTGCGCCTTGCTGCTGCTTGATCTGGTGTCTATAAATTGTTCCAATTTATGCCTTTACTACACGGTTTTGATCCCCCTCCCCATTTCCCATTTATGTGAAGAAAATCTCCTTGACGTTCTTTACGAGCTGGCCCCTGCCCTACTCTAATCAAGGGGATCCTGTCTGCTTTAACATATCTAATATTTGACTGGCCTCAGTCAGCCCCTCTGGCCTTTGCATTGCATCCCTTACCTGCTCCCCAGTCTCTTCTGTCCTTTTTGCTGCCTTCCCCGCACCCTTAGAGTTTTGGCATCATCCTTCCTGGAATAGGTGACTGGAGCTGCATACAGGGTCTCTCGTGTTCTCTGTAGTCCTACATATATGTTGCTTATGATGGAAACGTTTGTATCTCTCTCTCTCTCTCTCTCTCTCTCTCTCTTCTCCTGCAGGGCAAAGAACCAGAAAAAGATGACTTTGTCCCTCCAGGTAGATCTCTCCATTGCTTTATAGTTTTACCAGATGGTCTCGAACAGTGAGAGAGTTCCATAGGGAAGGAGAACACTGTGGTTGCCTTATGTAGCACCAATATCTGGGAATAACAAATAATGCAACTTAATCCTCTCCTGTGGCTGGATGTTCCACAAAGAGGACACAGCTGAATCGACCCACACGCCAACTGTTGGGCACCAGGACCAGAGCAGTGGGTCCCTGGCTGTGGAACTCCTTGCTGGAAGAGGTCGGTCTAAGCCCAAATCTGAGATTGTTCAGGTCAAGATGTAGATTGCATCTTTCTGATACAGCCTGCCCCAGAGGAACACCTTTTGATCTGGGCTTTCGGCCTCTCTAATTTTGTGCCACATTTAAATACCCCAGTTCTGGCCACTGTGTCAAACCTGAGCACCTGAGGGAGGTTTTGTTGTTTTGACCTGTGCTGTTTGGAGCTTTGTCAAGTGGCAGAATTATTGCTACAGGCCAAAGGGGTGCCCTACAGCAGTGGCTCTCAACCTTTCCAGATTACTGTACCCCTTTCAAGAGTCTGATTTGTCCTGTGTACCCCCAAGTTTCACCTCACTTAAAAACTTAGAAAATCAGACACAAAAATACAGAAATGTTCCAGCACACTATTATTGAACAATAGCTGACTCTCATTTTTACCATATAATTATAAAATAAATCAATTGGAATATAAATATTGTACTTGCATTTCAGTGTATCGTATCTAGAGCAGTATAAACAAATCATTGTCTGTGAAATTTTAGTTTGTGTGACTTTGCTAGTGCTTTTTATGTAACCTCTAGTAAAACTAGGCAAATATCTAGAGGAGTTGATGTACCCCTTGGAAGCTCTCTAAGTACCCGCGGAGTACAAGTACCCCTGGGTAAGACCCACTGCTCTACAGAATATGTTGCTCTGCTCAACTCCTCCCTACCCCCCATCTTGCCCTGAATGAGGTTGTTTTTTCTGAGAATTGAAGGCCCTGAAAGGGGCTCGCTGGGACTGAGAGCTCTTTGACGAGCAGCAAGTCTTGTGACACAGACGTACCCACCTCAGTGAAATCTCACCTCAGCTTCCTCCTGTTCTTGAACTTGTCCTCCCCCCTGCTCAAGGGGAACTTTGTAATGGCCCGTGGGTGGCGTGGTGGGAGGGCAATTCCAAGAGATACCGTACTAACACCCCGCTTGGTAAGGGTGGTGGGGTGGCATGGCAAGGAATGGAAGGGTGGAGAGCGTCTCTTTAAAACGTCACTTCTCTGGTAGATGCAGGCTGCCCCCTGAAAGACCCCGCCAGCCAGAAAATCTCCAAACTCACGGTCAAGGTAAGGAAAGGCCTGCGTGAATTCAGTGCGGCGTTCTCACCCCCCCTGCTAGTAACTCTTGTCTGAGACTGGACAGAGGTGTTGCCTGCTCCTTCCTGTCCCTTCAGGGGGTGGAGGAGAAAGGCAATGCCATTCCTGCAAGAGGATCTCCTCTCTCTCCTTTTGGTTTTAGGCCCGAGAACACTGCTTGAAGATGTTGGTAGAAGCTCTGAGCAGCAACCAGAAGGCAGCCCCGACAGGACATGGGTATTAAACAAGGCACAGGAAGGGATAGAGAGAAGAGGTCCTGATAGCAGGGCTCTCCTTGCTCTGAGCAAGATCATTGTGTGCAATGGTCACCCTTGTCAGTGAGTGAATCACCTCTGGAGCTCTGCGAGAAGCCTGACGTACAGCGCTCTTCCCTCCATCCCCATTCATATCCCCTTGCTGGGCCCCACAGCTGAGTTCAGCTCCACGGAGATTCACCAAGCCCCCTCTGAGTGTGCTCTGAGCCTCCTGGGTGCTAGTTCCACCAGCTCCCTTTAAGGTGATTCCAGGGCTTGCTGTTCCCCTTTGCCCCACCAGAGGGGGATAGCGTACTACACAAAGTCCATGCAGACCCACACAAACCAGAGAATCTCCAAATGTGCGCAAGGAGAGAGCCATGTTTTTGAAGTAAATCTGCTGTGCCCCTGCCAGGCACTAAAACAGCCCCTTGACCACCACCTGCAGTTTTTACACATTCGGGCTTAAATCCCAGCCCTGCTTCCGCACCGGCCCTCTCCCAACCCAGACCCTTGCGGGAGACTCTTCACCAACATGAGCACTCCTCTCGCAAGTGGAGAGCTGTGTCCTACCTGAACTGACCACAGTGTGCGTTGCAGGTCAGACCCTCACGCCTGTGCCGTGGAGATGGAGTATGAGGCTTTCAGAACCAGTAAAATGTCCAACTTGTACAAGGCAACTGTACTAAAGAAGGTAAGGAGCTTGCGGTGGGGGGTGATGGGGGGAAACTGGAGCTGCTCCCTCCCGTCCCTGGTGTCACCACTGCCATAGCCCGTGAGCATGGTACATGTTAGACTCAAGGGGAGCGTTCCCGCCATGTGTTACAGCTCTCGCTCTGCCCTGCTTACCTCCCTCAGGCTGTTTCTTCCTGGTATCCCTTCCAGGAGGAGCTTTTATCTCATTGGATTCTACCTCCCTGTTGGCTGCAGTCCAGCTGTTGATCAGAACATCTGTCAAAACATCTGCAGCCATCGGAGAGCAACCCAGCCTTAAAAATAAAATAAGAAGGGTGGGGGGTTGCTCCAATCACCCTGTGGCTGGACCATCATTACATGGTAGAAATATCCTGAGTTGGGCTAGGCAGTTGGCTCGAGCCATCCTGGGGTAATTCATGGCCATAAGGCAGGAGAAGCCCTTGGTGGAGACCTGCCCTTTGCCAGTGAGGATTGCGGTGCATGCTGAGGAAGAGGGAGACGTAAAGACTCCGCCATTGGGCGATGTTCTTCTTCTCTTTCAACCCAAGGTAGCGGAGATCAACAAAGCCTCGAAAGAAGGGGAGCTGTATCCAGCATGTGGGTCAGGAGCTGGTGGCGGCAGCAGCCCCAGGACGAAGTCTGAACCCTCAGCTGAAGATGACTTTCTCCCTGCATCCCAAATCTATTCGGTGAGTACAGGTGGCTGCTGCACGGAACGATGACCGGGCTTGCAGAGCCTATTGCCTGGAAGTATTGTGGCCGTTCATACAACTGCCCAGCTGGTTGTATGAAAACGCCGAATGCCTGAGCTAGAAAACGGCCCAGGCAGTTTTTGGCTAGGCTGTATAACGTGCTTGAGGTGAAGCTGGGCAAAGAGGAGAAGGTGAACAATGGGTTTTGGGGTATGGTTCTTTGCAAGGTTTGTTGCTTAGCTTTGGCTGAGTGTTTGTGGTGGAATGTTTTCCCTCCCATCCTGCTCCTCCTGCACATGGTGCTCTTGTGGTGAGGACAGCTCAACCCCCTTGTCATGCTGGAGCTCCTGCTTTTCAGACTGTATTTTGCCAAAGAGGCTCCCCTCCTATCTAACTTGTCATCGCTCAACCAAGGATGTTCCCCGTCCCCGTATTCTGGGGCTACAGCTTTCCTCCACTCCCGTCCCCCTTACTGTGCAGCCATGACTGCTCTGATGTGTCTGCTTCTGGTTTTAGACAGTGTGCGCTCCCTGAAAGGAGTGTGCTGCAGAGTGGCACCAACACAGCTGGCAGACCCAACACTAGTCCTAGCAGTCATTGGCAGACTCCATCCAGCGACACTGGACTGGCTCGTTTAAGCGCTGTAGCTCGTTACCTATCACTAATCCCTGTCCTCTCCCACTGCCGGATCCAATCCAGAGCGGTGGTGGCTGAAAGCGGTTACCATCTGATGGCTTTTCAGTAGCTCTGTGAAGTGGGTTGGCTGGGCTCAGTACAGTGAACAAGTGCTCACGTTGCAGAAACCACTCTTGGAACTGCCTGCACCTTTGTTGGCAGCCTCAGCAGAGAGGCTGCAGGAAGTCAGAGTGTGTAAGGCTGGACTGAACTATCCCTCAGCCCAGGGGGGTGATTCCTCTGGGTCAGGGTGAAGCACTTTGGGAGGGGAAATTCGTCCGGCTGCTTCCTGTGCTGTGGGGAGCTCTGCTGACCAGGGCTGTGAACCTGGCTTCTTTCACATTCGTTGGCAGCTCCTGCACGTTGCTGTAAACCAGGGCGTATGGCTGGTGTGGTTCATAGATGCCCCCAATAGCTGCCTCTTGTGCCACTAGAGGGAGAGCCTGACACACAGCTGCCTGCAGCGTGCCCTAGTGCAGCCCCTCTCCCAGCTTCTCCAGAGCCTCCTGCTGAGGTTCTGGCTGTTTGTCCCCACATCTCCTATATACCCATCCCATCCATGGCCCCATGATGTCACAAGATCTCATCAGCCTCCTCCTGGCTCTGGCCAAGATGGCCATCCATTCCAAACTCGGCAGGGAGGCTCTCTGTGACTGGAGGGATCTTCTTCCATTCCCTGGGCATTTCTTGCCTCTGGGTAGCATCCACTGATGCCTTGGTCTCCTTTGCAGAGCAGTGGGCATTGTCTGGTGTTCTCTGCTCGGTGTGCCCATCCAGTTCCTTGGTTTTGCACCTTTGTCATCCAGGTTTATCATTGTTTGGTTCCAGGGAATCACTTTTCTGGATCATGTGGCCCCTCCCTCACCTGAGGGGGCAGGCCGTTAGGTTGGTGGCTCTACCCACTGCCTTCCTGAACTCTTAACAGACAGTACCTTTCACCAGCAGTAAATTCACAAGTCAAAATTAAGCCATCTCCATTGACTTCTGAATAACGCTCCTGTGACAAACCATGTGCACGTAATGGAAGGAACCAAGTCTCCATTTTGTGTCCCCCAGTGGGGAGGGTGTGTGTGTGTGTGTGTGTGTGTGTGTGTAAACAGGGAGACCACTTCCTTGGCAATGCCTTTGTAACCCTCTAGTGCCCTCCCTCTGTCTCTTTCCCTTCTCTTTATAGTTTAAACCCAAGCGGATAGGAGCTGGGTTTCGAAAGAGTTCCAGCTTGTTCCAGACTGCTGCCGAACTGCTGAAGACAGAGGAGGAGAGTGATGCGACGCCTGTGGAGAGGGAAGCGGATAGTCCAAACTGGCAAGGTGACGGCGAATGTGATTCAGAAAAGGTCAGGGTCTCTGTCGTCAAGAGCAAAGAAAGGGTGACCAAAGCAGTACACGAAAGTGCTGTGGAAGCAATACAGGCCCATGACAAGAAGGGACAGCAACCCAGTCCAGATGCAGATGCCGCCCTGTCAGATAGCCCTACCAAGAAGGTAAAGCTCACCAAGAAGCAACAGCTGCTAGCAGAAGCAGCCAGAAAAGAATCCCAGAACATTTCCAAATTCTTCTCTCTCACCAAAGCCGGGCTTAAAACCTCAGGATGTGTCTCGGCAGAGGAAGACGATTGTCCTGTGAGTGAGCTCTCTCAGTCTCTTTCTCAAAGAGTATGTCAAGAGAAAGAGGAACCTCAGGAAAATGAAGGTGTCTCAGGAGGCGCTTCGGCTGAGCAACCCCAGATGGAGGACCATGAGTCAAGGAAGATGGAGGAAGCACTGACTGAGAGAAGTCAGGACTTGAAGTCGAAACACGACCCTGGATCTGAAGCCACACAAGCAGGATTAGATGGTCAGATAAAACCAAGGTGAGAGAGCTCCTGCGGTCCTGCCCCATTCTTTCCTGCTTTGCCCAGGCCATCCCACAGCAGTGTCTCGTTAGCTAATTACACGGGCAGCCCTTTGTGCTGCATTGATGGAGAGCTGCCATGATAGTATTTAATCAGTGTTATAACTCTGAGCTGGTCTGGACAGGGCGTCTCGTTCACGCTTTACTGAAATCTCTGCCACTCGCTAAATATCAGCCTGGTGAAGTCTTCATCTCATAGCAAGTCCCTGTCTTGAATAATCAAACCAGCAGAAATGATCTTGTCCTTTCCCTCCATCCTCAGCTGTGACGAAGCTGGTATAGAAATCGAAACCACCTGCGCTGGGGAACGGCAAGGCAGGAAGAGGCCAGGATCAGATGAGGTGAGATCTTAATGAATTTCATTTTCCTCACCTCTGTCTGCTCAGCTTTGTGCCCAGCTTCTCTATGGAAATGACATGCCTGGTCTAAACCTCACCTGGCAGTATCCGTTATCCAGGGGTAGTCCAGTCCCGATCCCAGCAGAAACCAGCAATATGGGCCATGGGGGAGCCTGCGCTCCTGGGATCTAGGCCCGGCTCTGCCGCTGATGCACGGCGTGACTCAGGCAAGGCACTTCTGGCATGGTTCTCGGGGTGCTGAGCACCCACAGCTCTGACTGAAATCTGTGGAAGCTGCGGGCGCTTAGCACATCTGGCAATTAAGCCCTTCACCTCTGTGTCACTTTCCCCCTCAGAGAGGTAGCCGATGATACCTACCTTGTAATCACCATCGCCTGATGCAAGTGGGGTCCTGAGTGTCTCCACCCCTCTGTCACAGAGAGCAAAGTGATGCTTTATCAGTTGAGGGCAGCCGCCAAAGCTGACCCTATGGACCAGTCAGTACTGGGTGATTGTGCAGCAAGGGCTGAGCGCCCTGCCTTGCAGCCCCTAGCCCAGGGTTTGACACCTGTGACAGCCCCAAGACCTGGTTCTCTTGGCTGCAGCACCGTCCCCATGCTTGGGCTGAATTGGAGTGGGGCACTAACTGTTTAACTCAAAAGCAGAGCGGATTGCCCTTGTGGATCTATCCCAGGCCTCGTTTCCTGCAGCGTCTAGCTAGGTTCACCCCAGGGGGTATCCAAGAAGATTTTATCCATCCCTCTTTCCTCCAAGCACTTAGACACAGCAATCCCTGGAGAGGCGAATCCCACAGGATTTCTTCTAAGGCCTTTTCCTGTGTGATGGGGACAGCGGGGCTGCTTAGATTAATGCCTCGCGTACCTTCCCCGTGACTAGCCCAGGGCCTGTCTCCAGGGGACTGAGTTGGCTAAATGTATTCCTGCATGGCAAGCAAGCAGCTTGCAGGCTGGCATGGGGATGCTTCTGCCTCACATGGCAGCTTGGGCCTAGGAGTCTGAAACTGCTGCATGAACGGCTGCTCCTCTTTGCGCTGGTCTAGGATCTGGAGAGCCCTGCATCGAAGAGGTTGCAGGCGACAGCGTCTTCCATCCTGTCGCAACCAGAGGGCAAAGGCATGGGCCCAGTGAAGAAGAAGGTGACTTTTGATCCGAGTTTGTCACAGGTTGATAAAGAAGGAACTACCAAGACCATCCAGCCAGCGACCAAAGGCGTGTCCCTTAAAGAGACAGCAGATATTGTCGTCAAATACTTGACCCCTTTCTACAAGGGTGGTAAATTTGCTTCCAAGGTAGGGCACAGACAGCAGCTTTCTCTATCAGGAGGAGACCAAAGCTGTGTCTCCTAAGGCTGTTTGGGACAGGGGGAGAGGGGTGCATGATGCTGGTGGGTGTTCAAATTTACCCACAGGGTCTCGCTGGTCCTTGGTGGTAGGGTATGTCCCCACCTGCCTTAGTGACCCAAGAAGCGAAACGCGTTCTGGAGAGGAATGGTGGGTGGTGACTGCCATGGTGCTACGGGGATCCCAGTTATTGACTTTGGATTTTAAAAAGCAAAAACTGAGCCAGGAACTAAGAGCAAATTCAGCCCTTGGCTGTTCTACCCTGAGCGGTTCCACGTACATACAGTGCCTAGCACAACGGGGCCCCGATCTCTCTTGTGACTGGTAAGCACCACTGTAATACAAAGAACAGTTGTTTCTGTTACGGCCCGATGGTGCTAGAGGCTGTGCAGAGGCATGCAAACCTACACAGATTGTGTGATGAGAGGGTGATGCAGCCAGGGGTAACCTTCGCTCTGCGCTTTGATTTCTCTACCCTGCAGGAACTGTTCAAGGGATTTGCCCGACACCTCTCCCACTTACTGACTGAGGAAAAGAATCCCGTCCGCAAGGCTGGTGAGTCGCCACGTGGTGGGGGGATGTGGCTGTGGAGTGGTATCATGTAGACAGCTGGGGATATACTAGTGCTAAATGGGTCAATGACCTGCAGGAGGAGGGGCTGCAGACTCTGCTAGTCTCCTCAAAGGGGATGTCCCCTCTCTTTGCAGTGAAAGAAGAAGCACAGAGACTCATCAAGGAGTTTTTCAAAACCCGAGTCAGGTGTGAAAATGAGACAGACTGGCAAGCGCTGCCCAGCTCGGAAAGATGATATCGGTTCTCCAGCTATGTCCATTCCCTGCTGCAGTCGGTGGAATTGAAGGCTCACGGAGACACGGGGGAGTTTTCCATTCATGTTACTGCTTGTTCTCCATGGCATCTGTGCCACGGGTGTGGCCTTGAGAACATCTCTAGGGAGGTGATCCCTGGGAATTTGTCTCCGGAGCTCCTCTGGTGCCTAAGGGACGATGAAGTCCTTCAACAGCCCTTGCTAAGAGGTCTGGTGTCTGCCAATGCTGCATAGCTCTGTGGCCTCTCTCAGCCGTGCTGCGATGCATCCCGCTGCTGCTGCCGGCTGAGAATTGCAGACTCTGATTCCAAGTTGGGTATGAATCCTGCTGCTCCCCACAAGTGTCTCTGATCCTCCCCACCCACCCCTCCTTGCCCTCCTCCCTTGCCTTTTTATTTAAATGTTACCAATAGAAGCCTTATGCTGAAAACACATTCAAATGCCCACGCTTCGCTCAGGGTTTGTTGATGGGAGCTGACGGTTAAGTTCCTAGAGGGGACATTTATTTTGAAAAAATGTTTCGGTTTAGACGATGGGACGTGCAGCGTCTCCTTTCCCAAAGCTGGGGACCCCCTGCAGGCTTTTTTTTTAAAACCACCTTGAATTTTGGTTTTACTCGGGCCAGCTGTGTGTGCTGTTTAACCGGCGTGGGCAATAGCGCCGTAGCCTGGACAGACTGGCAGCTCTCTCACACACACCCCCACCCTTGGTTGTGCATTATAAGGGGGCAACACCAAAGTTGATGCACTTCCCTAGTATTTGCTTATAGCCCCTGGAAGCCATATCCCCTCACTGTGCCTAAACCAGGGACTTAGGACAGAGGATGCTGCTGCTGGTACAGCCAATTACCCACCCGCTGCTGTGGCACTTGTAGACCCAGTAGCTGTGGTGCATCTGCTGCTATATTTATGCGAGGGCCTGAACTGGTGGGAGTCGGTGAGTCGTAACATGAACCTACTGTGCCCAGGATTGTCTTTCACATGTAGTTTTTGGGGGGCTCTGCCGTTGCTCTATGCCTAGGGAAGAGATTGGCCTGGCTGGCATTAATGCTGCTGGATCAACCTGCAATCTTAGAAGCCAGGAATGGAACAGGCTTCTGAATAGCTTGTGCTCGGGGAAACTGGGCTTTTATATGTTCCCGAAGGGTGCATGGTAAACTGACAATAAACTGAACGTCACCGTTGCGATGGGCTCTCTCTGCCTCGTTCCTGCTGTTTCATTACATCTGATGCGCTCTGCTGCTCCTGGTTACCTTCCTGAGCACGCACGGAGCGTTACACTGTGAACGCCTGGGTAAAAGCAGAGTCGCTTGTCCCTTGAACAACCGATGAACTGAATGGTAGGAGCTGGTGGCTAGGAATGGGCAATAGCGTTTGGACCACACGATTCTTCTCCTCCCCTAGAAGTAGTTAGCTGGAGTCTCTGTGCAGACCTCGAAGAGCAGCCTCCACTGTCAGCGAGCCTGAGTTTCCGGCAGCTCTAGCTCCAGTTAGTGTTTGAGGGGTGGTGTAAAGCAGACAATGCGTTAGCTGTGCAGCGTCTCAGACATTTCTGCTTTTACCGGTGCTCTTGTTGCTTGAGCTGCAGCAGCATGTGTCATTTTGCTAAGTCGGGGCTTTCAACACCCCCGATGCTCTAGAAGAGCATGGTGGCATCCCAGTCATGGCAGCCTTTTGTGCTGCAGTAAGGTAAGTACTTTACGTGCTCTGATTAGTGCGGACTAGGATCTTTGCATTGCCATTAAAAATCCCCTGGAACTCTTCCTGTGAGTAGAGGATTGTCCCCCTGTGCTGAGCCAAGACTTCCCAGCACGGGGGGGTTGTTCTGTTGTCTACCTACCTTTAGTCCTCAGAGGTCCTCTGTCCGGAGCCTGTCAATCCATGGGATCTTGGTGGTTCACTTTTGTTAGTGTTCTGTACCGCCCATGAGGACTGAAAGGGGTGGGAGAATCTGCCTCCTTCCATGCTGACTAGGGGCTCCAGCCAGGAAACACATAGGGCGCCCCCTGGGGTGGATGAGGGGGATTGATAGGTTTATAAGAAGAGAACTGGCAGAGGGTGGTGACAGCAGAGGAAAGAGAAGCTCTGGGTCTAAGTGTCTTGTTTTTCTTCCTCCCTCTAGGCTTTCACAGTGCCCTGGTGCTGCACCCTCCCCTTCCAAGGCCCTGGGAGAAGAGAGGTGGGGCCAGGTTGTTAGAGCTGCCTCCTGCCTGTGTGTGTGGTGGGGGGTGGGGGGGGGGGGCGTGGAGAGAATA